GTGAGCACGAGGGGCACTCCGCTTCGCCTTGGCCCGCGCTCCCGGCTGATTCTTCTTGGCGGGCTTGTTGGCCCTGTCGGCGGCGGCGCGGGCCTGCTTGCTCTTGGCGCTGCGCGAGCGTCCAGAGGAGCGCGGGGCCTTCGACGCCGGGGACGAAGTGGACGACAGGCGGGCCTCGACATTGGCCCAGGCGCGCTTCTCTCGCCTCTCGGACTTGCGCTCGACGTCGGCCACCAGCCTGGCGTTTCGGGCGATGCGCAGGGCGAGGAGCCGGTAAAAGACCCAGTCGTGGGCGGTCTGGAGGTCCTTGCTGGCCGTCTCGTAGCGCGCGCTGTGGCTCTTGGAGAGCGCCTCGGTGTTGTCCTCGACGAGCCTGCGCGCGACCTCCTCGGCATCAGTGAGCGCAGCCAGGGCGCGGTCGAAGGGGTCGAGCTCGGTGCGGCCGCCGCGTCCGACCCTGGAGGTGGCGGCGTTGTTGGACGAGCCGGAAGGGCCGGCAGTATCGCCGCTTCCGCTGCCGCCAGCGGCCTCCCTCTTCTTGGCCTTGCGCTGCGCGTGCGACAGCCGCGGCCGCTTGCCGTCGACCTTGTCGGAAGCGGCGCGCTTGGTGTTGGCCGCGGCCTTGCCCTCGTCCTGCAGCGAGCCGCTCCGGATGGCGTCGTGCAGGGCCGACTCCTCGGCCTGGGCTCGGGTGATGGCGTCGAGCAGCTCCGGGTTGCGAACCGGAATTTGGCGGCCGTGCCAGGAAAGCGAGAGGGGCTCGGCACGGGTGGCGGCGCCGTCGCCGCCCTTGGCCTTGAGCTCGCCGACGAGTGCGTCGAAGCCGGGGTGGACCCGGCTGCACACCTCGGGCGCGGCAAACTTGCGCGCGACGGCGTCCATGTTCTGCTCCGATTCGCCGAGCTGGTAGGCGCAGTAGCGCATCTGGGCCTCGCCGGCATCGACGAAGCTGTTGGCGAGGGCCTCGCTGCGGCTGGAGCTGCTGTTCTCGGCGATGGCGTTGAGCAGCAGGCGGGCCACCGAGAGGGTCTCGAGGGCCTTTTGCCACTGGCCGTGGTCAAAGGCGGAAGCGCCGCGGAGCATGACGGCGTAGGCGGCGGCCTCGCAGCGGGCGTACACGTCGAAGCGGGCGTCGAGGGCGGTGACGAGGTCGTTGAGCGAGGCGGACCACTGGACGGCGCGGCGGAGGCGCGAGAGGCCGCGCTTGCGGAGGGCGGGGTCGTTGTCGCTGTCAAAGGCCTGGGTGCGCAGGTCCTGGGAGTAGGCCCAGGCGCGCTCGGCCTCGAAGAGGAGGAGCTGGGCGGGGCGCTCGTCGCGAACGTCGCTCAGCGAGAGCGTCTTTGGGGTGAAGGTGTTTCCGTGGCCCTTTGTGGCTGCGCTCTGGTCTGCGGCGGCCTGGGCCTTTTTCGACTTTTTGCCCTTTGCGCCCTTTTGCTTCTTGAGCTTGGCGGCGGCCGCCTTCTGTGAGCCGTCAGAGTGGGTGAGCTGGAGGATCTCGCGGATGCGGTGGGCCTTTTTGGCGCAAAAGTGGCGGTAGCGGGTGTACTGCTGCTGGCGCATGCCGTGCTCGTTGCGAGCCTCGCTGATGAGCTGGAGGAGCGGGAGGGCGATGGGGCCGCCGTCGGCCGTGTTGACGGCATCCCTGCCGGCGGAGAGGTCGATCTCCATGGCGTGTCGATGCTGCAAGGTGCGAAGGCGAGGAGAGACGAGGAGGCGTAAGGTGCGTTGATGGCCGACGTCGAGGAGAGGACGACGAGGGGCAGACTCAGCTCCACGCAGCAGAAAGCTGTGTGCGACGGTGGCCAGGCCAGGCCAGGCCAGGCCAGACCGTGCCAGGCCAGACCGTGCGGCGGGACCACGCGATGCGGGCTCCATCTCGGAGCCGATCAATAATGGTATTTTTTGTCTCGCGCGAGAAAACAAACAAAGTTGCCCGACCGGGAAGCACGTTCCCAGCCAGGCCAAGGTGGAAAGTGGAAAACGTGCGCTGTTGGCACGGGCCACCGGCTGCCAACGTGCCGTGCGGGGTAGCGGCCATCTGGGGCCGTCCGTCTGCCCGGTGCCCTGCGTCTGCCTCTGCGTCTTTGCCTTTCCCGCGTGCCGCCACCATCTTCCTGCCCCCCTCCTAGCTTAACTTCCCTCGCCTGCTGGCCTTCGATTCCCTCCTTCAAACAGAGCTCTGCCTCTCTTTTCACGACTGGGCGTGCGCTCTACCCACCGTCCTGGCCGCCGTCATGCACCTGCCAGCAGCTGTCACACCACGCTCCGCAGGACCAAGCAGCAGCGACGCTCGGACCCACGCCCACCACCCCGTCTTCTTCTTGCGTGTTTGCCTGCCTGCTTGCTTCTTGGTCTGCCCGCTCTAGCCTCGACTGTGGCGACGCTCCACATGCTGTCCATGGCGGCCGACGTGCTTGCTGGCCTCACGTTCCTTCTCGTCCCGCCTGGCCAGCCCAGCCCTCATCTCGCCCCCTCGGCTGGCCGGCGCGCGCTACCATGGCGCTGGGGCCCAACTTTGTCGCCTCTCGAACGCCGAGCCAGACCGCCAGCTTCCCGTGCCCGTAGCGCCTCGAACCGCCTCTTTCAGATGTCCGACCTCCGTAGCTCTCCGTGATAAGGCAGCTACCGACGAGCAGGCCCGCTGGACCAGAGCACCTCGGCGTCTGACCGACTCTCTCGCTATGTCGATGCCGTGGGCAGCGTTGGCGAGGGCCTCTGTCGTCTTTGGGACCAGCAGGCTCCCTCCATAGGCTGCCTACCTGCCCGCTCTCGTTGTCCCGTGCATCCGTGCCACCCACCTTCCTCGGTCAGGTTGGTGGCGGCCCGAGCAGCCGTCCGACGCACATCACTCTGCTTGTGCCAGCCCAACATCGTCCTACGGTGACTGCCACGTCCGACCCTCCTTGCTTCAGAAGAAGCGCTGCGGGACGCCTCCGTGGCCTAGTCCCCCTTCTCCTGCCCGCCGCCGCCGCCCCTCTTAAGAGCCTGTGCTCCCTGTTCATCCTCCCTTGCCTCCGACTTCTCACCCCATTCGCGACCTCTGACTCCCTCCTCCCTTGCTTCGTCAAGCAGCTCACACCCCTACATCCCCCCGGCTTGCCCTCAACAGGTCCTTCGGTGCCAGCGACCGCCGCTCCTCTGATCTATCTCCCTCTCTGCGTCTCTCAACCGACATCTCGAACACGCCTTCTTCCTCTTGCCCCACGCCGTTGCCGCCCTCCGCTCCTCGAAGTGGCCCATAGAAAGGATGGCCAGCCTCCTGTCTGCCTCGGCCTCGTCGCCGCTCGCTCCGCTCTACAGCTATGCTCCGGCCGCGCTAGTTCACATGCTCGCCGCCACGACGTTCCTGGTGACCGTCGTTGGCCTCGCTACCGTCATCAGCCCCAAGTTCCGCTCCACTCTCGTCTTCTGCTACACCTGCTTCCTCCAGCCGCTCGGGAAGGTCTCCAACCAGGCCGAGCGGCTCGACCGCTTCTACGAAAAGCAGGCCGATGGTGAGTTTAGTCCCCACGCGCAAAGGGAAGATCATCGGACGCGGAAAGCCTGACGCCGATGCCTCGATGCGCAACGCAATTGCAGTCTACGATGCTACCCGGACCGGTCTGCTTCGAGGCCGCAAGACGATGCTCAAGTGAGTGCAGAGATGCCGGGTTGCGCGGCTCCACAGCTTCGCCGCGTGAATACTGCGGTTGCTGATCAAGCTCCCCTCTCTCTCCCTCTCTCCCTGTCCACTGTGTCTCTCTCTCTACCCTTCGACGATGGCGTTTGCGCTTCCGGACAGGCTGTGCGCTGCTCAGCTGCGCGACATGCAGGCATCCAACCCTGGCAAGCCGCTCGTCTGGGTCGACATTGGCGGCGGAACTGGTGAGTCCGGCGAAGCTGCCAGGCGCCAAGGCGGGCCGAGCTCCCACCATGAGTGAGCTGCACCCTTGCTGACCTCCCCGTTTCTCGCCCGACCCCTGGCCCCTGCTCCCCGCACGCATTCCAGGCTGGAATATCGAGCAGATGAACGAATTCTTCCCGATCGCCGAGCTCTCCCAGGTCTACCTGATCGACCTTTGCGAGCCGCTGCTCGAGGTGGCGCGCAAGCGCTTCGCCGCCAAGGGTTTCACCAACGTCCGCGTCCTCTGCCAGGACGCCTCCGACTTTGTGCTGCCCGGCCTGGCCGCTGACCAGAAGGTCGACCTGTTTACGTGCTCCTACTCGATCTCCATGATCCCGCCCTTCTACGCCGTGCTCGACCGCATCAATGACTTCCTCGACCCGGAGACAGGCGTGTTCGGCGTCGTCGACTTCTACGTCAGCGGCAAGGCCTCGCCCACGGACAAGGCGCCCTGGATCGGCGGCGACACGCGCCGCCAGTGCGGCTGGCTCTCGCGCTGGTTCTGGAGCCTGTGGTTCTCGCTCGACCACATCGAGCTCCACCCCGCCCGCCGCGACTACCTCGAGCACAAGTTCGGCACCATCAAGTGCTACAACGGCCGCAACGACTTCATCGTCCCCTTTATCGTCCGCATCCCCTACTACATCTGGCTCGGCGTGTCGAGGCAGCGCGACACGACCAAGGCGCTCCAGGCGTTCGAGGTCGAGGCGGGCAACCGCGTCGTGGTGCCGCCCTCGTTCCCGGAGCTTACCAGCCTGCACGATGGATTCGCCGCCGACGCTGCTGGCGAGAAGAAGGGCGACGGCATGACGACGGCGCTCCGCGACCTTCCCTCGGCGCTCGGCGGCGACAGTGGCTCCGACGTCACCTCGAGCCTGATCCGACGCCGTGCCTCGGCCGCCACCGAGAGCAGCGGCAGCGAGTCCGGCAGCGAAAAGGCGGTCAAGCTGGACCTGGGCCCGTCGTTCCCGCTGAGCTCGTTCCACTACCAGAAGCGCCAGTGGCGCCTGCCGTTCATCGACAACGAGTTCAGCGACATGTTCCGCACGTGGATCTACGGCTTCACCTGGGAGGACCCGCACGTCGACATGGAGCACCTCGACCTGGGCCGCGACGACTCGATCCTGTGCATCACCAGCGCCGGCGACAATGCGCTCCACTACGCCGTCGACGGCAAGCCGCGCCGGATCCACGCCGTCGACATGAACCCGTGCCAGGGCCACGTGCTCGAGCTGAAGCTGGCGTGCATCACGGCGCTCGAGTACGACGAGATGTGGGCGCTGTTCGGCGAGGGCAAGATCGACAACTTCCGCCACCTGCTCGACACCAAGATCTCGCCGTACCTGTCGTCGCACGCCTACCAGTTCTGGCGGCTCAACACGTCGGCGTTTGACAAGGCCTTCTACTTCCGCGGCTACTCGGGCCACGCGCTGCGCCTGGCCAAGATCGCATTTACGCTGACGGGCGTCAACCGGCACGTCAAGGCCATGTCGCTCGCCTCGACGGTCGAGGAGCAGCAGCGGATCTGGGACACCAAGCTGCGCTCGACGCTCATCAACAAGCCGCTGATCCGCCTCTTCCTGTCGAACCCGGCGTTCCTGTGGAACGCGCTGGGCGTCCCCATGAACCAGTACCAGATCTTCCTCGACGAGGGCATCAGCGCCGAGCAGTTTGCCATTGACACGCTCGACTCGATTCCGTCGCGCTCGCTCATCCGCGACTCCAACTACCACTACCAGCTGTGCCTCAACGGCAGGTACACGCGCGAGTCGTGCCCGCTCTACCTCAAGCCCGAGGGCTTCCGGGCGCTCAAGAAGCAGGCGCTCGAAGAGGGGCTCGACTCGTTCCGCCTGCACACCGACTCGATTGTCAATGTGCTGCGCGGCTTCGAGGACGAGTCGCTGACGCGCGCCATCACCATGGACCACATGGACTGGTTCGACCCGGTGTCGGACAACGTGCCCGCGCCCTCGCTCAAGGCGGCCAGGCGGGACAGCGACAAGTCGGTCAGCGACCTGGACCGCGAGGTGCGCGAGCTGTCGCGCGTCGTGAAAAAGGGAGGCGCCGTCTTCTACCGCAGCGCGGCCAAGCGGCCGTGGTACAGCCGGCGCTTTGAGAAGATGGGCTTCAAGGTGACGCCCGTCCACATCCGCGAGACGGGCAAGCCCATCGACAATGTCAACATGTACGCCAGCTTCTACAAGGCCGTCAAGCTCTGAGCCGGCCCCCGGACGCCTCGCAAGACCCGCTTGCTGCCCCTCGTTCCCCGTGTCCCTTTTGTCCGGCTCGCTTCCTTCCCGCGATCAGCAGATGCACGTTTTTAACGACCCTCAGATACTACCCTAGTCTAGTCACAGGAGTCAACTCCACCCAGCCTAATCATACAGATATCAATATCGAGACGCAACTCGACGCCAGCGTCTTCGCGCGTGGACCCGTCATCGGCGGTGCTGCTGGCTGCACGGCCGAGCACCATCGACCTGCCTGTGCAGCCCGCCGCCGCCGCTGTGTCTCGGTTCCATCTCGGTGCCAGCGAAGCGGGACTTTCATTGTCCCTGTTTGCGTCTTGATCTGGCGGTTGTGAGACGAGCGTCGCCGTCTACTGGAGCCACGCGAGGATAGCCATGACGCGGACTGGCGGACGAGGATGCGAAACTAGGCGGTCAAGTGGGTGGCGCGAGAGAGGATGCGATGACCTCGCGCTGCTCCGCTGATTGTCAGATCTCGCCGCATCGTCAGCCCATCACATGCACAAGGCGAGATCGCCACTCGATGCCCCATAATCACGCGGCGAGAGTGCGGGACCGGGAGGGTGAGATTTGGGTATGTATGGCGATGACGACGTCGTGTGGCGCTGACGAATGCGCCTACCCTCCCCTCCACGTTGGGCTGCGAAGACGAGGTCCGAAACGCATCCGAGGCACCGCCGCCGCCGCTGCGGGCGACGATCGCATCCATTGTTGATCGTCTCGTGGCATCGACTTGGCGCTGCGTCGCCTCCATTGTTCCATGTGGGTGATGGCGTGGCACCTTCATCTTGTCTGTCTCGTGGTCCCACTGTAGCGGGAGGAGGAGGTCTTGGCGAGAGACGGTGGGTCGGGAGCAGAGATCGATGGGCTGATAGGTGGGTGGGGGCTTACATTGTTCCTTGTCGCCCAGAAGGAGCTGGATCTCACGAACCCGCAGAACAAAGGAGATGCCGTGCATCCAGGACCGCCAGCCTCTATCCTAACACCAACAGGGCACGGTGAAAGCGTCAGGATTTGCGAGATGATGGTGGCCCTTCGCATCAATACCGAGGGATGTGCGTGCGCAGCACCCTCGTACTCTAGCTCGCACACGCTCCTCGACGTCCAGAACAAAGGAGCTTGCTTGCTTGTGTCTCTCGACCTCCCGCTCGCGCGGCTCGGACTAAGCCGCGCTTTCTGAGCTTGCCGGCGCGGCCCCACTGCGGTCTCAAGCGTGCGTCCTTGCCAGCTCGTCTGCATTCTCGCTCGCCAAAGACTGAGCAGGCCGGACTCGAGTCGTTGATACTAGCTGCGCGCTCTGTCTGGAGGCAAGCTCGTTACCAGAGAGGGCGGCCACGTGGTGACGACCAACGCCAGAGTCAAAGTCATAGCCAGAGCCAGAGCCAGAGCCACATCTCGGGCGGGTCCCAGGCAGAGCCGTGTGTACTCCTGTCGTAGTGATTCGGATGCAAGCACGGGACCATGCTGGATCCTTCCTTCATTCGTGCTTGATTGAGCCTATGGATCCCACCGTCCGTGTCGGCCAATACGAATGACGCTGGGTTCATTTACGTTCTTCGACTCCCGGACCTCCCTTTCTTGGCCCTGCCTTTGCTTGCGCCCGGCCGCCCGCCCGGGCGTGGCAGCGTGGCGATTTCGCCGGTCGGCCTTGTGAATCCATCCAAAGAGGTACGCTCGAGAGGTGAACCGATGCTCTGATTGCTGGACACTTCACCTTAGTTGAAAAAAAAAGGGGGGGGGGGGGGGGGCGAGGGCGATGTGGCGTAGTGGCCGGTCCGGTCCCCACCACGGTTGTCGCAAAACGGCGACGAAGGCGAAGGTGGCTGGGAGGGAGTGAGGCAGGCGCGGCGAGCGCGGCAAGGCAAGGCAAGGCCCGGCTGCACCGTTCGCCACCCATCATAACCTCAAGGTCTGCGGTGGCCCTTGCGATGAGACAGGGCTGCGCAGTGCCAAGAAAGCCGGTAGTCTAGGACCACAAGCAAGCTAAGACAAGCCACATGCTTCGGTGTCGCCGCCCAAACCTTGCCGGCCACCAAGCCGCCTGTCCCCCCAAGCAGGGCGGCAGCAGGTCTCATGATCCTGGTCCCTCACCTTAGCTTGCGATGAGGGCGGCAGCGGTGGCGAAGCTTGCTTGCCTCGTAGCTCGACGGAGGCAGGGCAGCGGTACGCGAGACGTGCGTCCCGTCCAGAAGGTCCTCTGCATCCCTGTCAACAAACGACTGGGCTGTCTGGGCCATGCTTCAATACGTAGATCCGTCATCCTCGCATGCTGCTGCGGTGGCGGCGAAGTGCTGGCGGTACCATGGTCAGGGAGCTACTATAGCCGGTGCTGGTGTTGGTGCAGCTGCGGCTGTGGCTGGTGCTCGTACGACGTTCGGGAAAGCGTCGCTGAGGATCGGGTATGCGCAGGTGCGGCGCACCGCGTGGCATGCGTGGCCGAGGAGTACGTACGGTGGATGGCAGCCCGCGTCGAACGGACCGCTTCCGGGGCGTACGGGCCGGCACGCGTGCGTACGTGCGTGCGTGCGTGCAAAGCGGCGCCATTATTGTCGGCCTAGCCTCTCACTACTGCCCTGCTTGCTTGAGCGGGGCCGTGGCGGTTCTCGAAGGGACTTCATATCGGGTTGCCGGGCTGCGTGGGCGGACGGGCAAAGCCAAGGAAAGGGAAGGTCAGCTCAATCCGGGCTCGCCCAGACCAGACAGCATGGCATGACTCCCACCCAGCAAGCGTGAGGCAGAGCGCCACGGGACGAACAGCCCAACAACCTCGCGCGTGGCGGCGCTACGCAGTTGGCGCAGGCTCAACTCACTGGCTGGCTGGCTTGCCTGTCCCGCCACCCTTCATTTGACCGGTGAGCAAGCAAGCAAGTCAAAGCAGGGCACGGCAGAGGAACCCAAGACAAGGCGCAGAGAGGGGAGATCAAAAAGAGGATCGTGCGGACCGGGCTCGGTCAGGTCGGTCAAGATGCCGGTCAGAGGCCAGGCGACGGCGTACGAGAACAGACGACGTCCGTCCGTGGTCGCCTGGCCGGCATCGTCACCGCCCTTCTAGCTCTGGTCCCGCCGCGCCGAGCCGCGCCGCGCAAGGCCGCGCCTCCCCACCCGTACGCCCAATCGACCGGCGCTCGCCGCTCGCAATCAATCGTCCCCTCACCGCGGCGCCGCCGCTGCCAGATTGACCGTCAGAGAGTGGGCCACCTGCGACTTGACGCGGATACGGAAGCGCAGCTATTACGGCAACCCTCCGCCAAAAAGAACCCCGACTGGACCGGAGGGAACACAAGGCTAGGGGGCAAATAAAAGACGACGTCAAGGGGCGCACGTCGTCAGGCTGGCGACCATCGAATCCCGCTCTCCCTCCTCCTCCTCTGCCTTCCTCTGCCACTCCTCCGCTCCGTTCCGCGGCGGAACCTAACACTGCTACAGCGCTAGCCGAACACGGACGGTTGTCGTACCCTAGGCCTCTCCTCCCATTACCGGCCGCCCCCCTCACGTCCCGACGAGTGCCGCCGGTGCGACCGACCAAACTTCATACGCCTCTCGCTGCTCCGGACCTCGCTTCACGGCCAAGCAAGCTTCCACCCAAGCTCGGCTGCTCGCTTCCGTGCCCGCGGAGACGACCTGGGCAAGCAAGCAAGCTTCCCGCTCACCAACGCCGGCCCGCACAGGCACGCCCGCGCACCGACTGTCCGACGCGTCGTCACTCGTCACGCCACCCGCCGCCTCTAGAAGGTTCGGACGCCGCTCGCACGACAGGAAGAGAAGCGAGCGAGAAGAACGGGTGAGCAGGCGGAAGAGAAGGAGACGGGCCAAGTACCGTCCACCTGGCTCTGCGGTTGTCGACCGACACAGTCCAGGCTTGCTGACCTGAGCCCAAGCTGCACCTTTCCGCACCATCGTACACAGCGCCAGCCAACCAGGCAGCCAGCCAGCCTTTCCGCCCGCCCCTCCGCCCACTCGCCACCAGCAACCTGGCCGCCCTCTCTCATCCACCCTTCCGACTGCGATGAGCTTCGCCTTCTGCCAGCCCGCACCAGTCGCCCCGCCGATGATGCCGCGATCCGCCCCAGCCCCCGCCCCGGCCCACCGCCCAAAGCCATCGATGCCGCGGCGCCAGAAGCGCGTCATCGTCACGTCGTGCGACAGCTGCCGTCTGCGCAAGCTGCGCTGCAACGCAAAGGAGCTGCCCCACGGCACATCGTGCTCGCAGTGCGTCAAGAGCAAGACGGCCTGCACCTTTGACGACTTCACCGAGTCGATGCGCCCGCTCGCAAAGGCGCGCACCCCTCGCAGCATCCCCCTCGCCACGCCCGCCCCGTCGCCGGGCACCGAGACCTACCTCCCGCTCCCGCTCGACGTTGGTGGTGGCAGCGGCGGCGGCGGTGTGTACCAGGGCGGACCGGCCTTTGCCTTCCCGACTGCCCCGGGCATGGCGTCGCCCTGGACCCTCTCGCCCAGCCTGACTGGCAGCCCTGCCAGTTTCGACCACGCCAGCATGTCGGTGGTGCCAGGCTCGTACTGCGGCAATGGGTTGGCGGGCCAGCCTCCCCTGTCGAGCGGACTGGCGCCGATGCCGTTGCAGGATGGCCCTGAAGCCATGCCCAGCACCGCCGGCGGCAGCAGAAGGAACAGCAACAGCGGCCATCGGGGCGGCAATAGGAACAAGAGGTCGCGTCCCAGCAAGGCCGTGGCGGAGGTGCCAGCCTGCGACACCCCGCCGGAGGGCAAGAAGGGCCGCTTCCTTCCCCTCATCGACGCCGACCGCGCCAGCATCGACAAGCCGGGCCCCTGGACAGGCTGGGGCCTGCCTGGCTCGATCACGGATCAAACGACGGGCGAGCGTGTCGAGGCGACGGCGTTCGCCATGGCCGCGCTCCTCTTCGACCGCTTCTACTCGCAGCCGACGCTCCTCTCGCTCGTCGTGTCCTACGAGGAGCTCTTTGGCCGCATCAACGTCCTCATCGCGCAGCAGCAGGACGACGTCGAGCGACGCAGCAGCGGCACCGCGCTCATCCCCGAGTACCTGCTGCTCGCCGTCGCAGCGACGGCAGCGGCCAGTACGGCCACTCGCGAGCCAGAGCTGCGGCAGTGGTGGAAGCAGCACGGCTGGAGCCTGGCCATGAACAGCATCAACGCCGAGCTGCGCCGCGGCGATGTGCAGCAGCTTGAGCTGGTGCAGGCGCTTCTCGTCGTGGCCATCTCCTGGACGGGCGAGCCGGAGAGCGTGGACCGCATCGTCCTGTTCGAGACGGCCATCAAGGTCAGCTTCCGGCTGCACCTCAACTCGGCGCGGCGCCTGCAGGGCTCGACGTCTCCGGCCGAGCGGGCCAAACGCATCTGCCTCTACTGGCTCGTCTACGTCGTCGACAAGCTGGTCGCCATCGCGGCGGGGCGTCCGGCCATGGTGGCATGGGAGCTGTGCGACATGCCGATGCTGGCGCTCGAAGACCTGGTGGCGTACGGCTCGTCGAACCTGACGAGCCGCTCGTCGAAGCCGCAGCAGTCGCGGGAGCAACTCTTCTGGCTGCACAACCTCGCCCTGTGCCAGATTGCCCTGGCGCGCATCCTCGAGCAGGTGCAGCACGACCTCTATCCGATCGCCGCGCCGCGCCCGCGCTGGAGCATGGCGGCGATCCAGGATGCCATCCGCCCCAACGAGGAGAGGCTCGTCGACTGGTGCAAGTGCAGCCGCGACCTGATCCGCGGCGCGTCCAAGCTCGGCGGCACCTGCCAGATGGCGGCCGAGGCCGTCGTTTCGCAGCTGCACCTCGTCCAGATCCAGCTCTACCAGCTCCCGCTCCAGTTCGAGGCCGAGGTGCTTTCCTCCCAGGCAAGCCATCAACGAGCGAACGCAGCTGGCCACGTTGACATCAACATCGACGTCGGGACCGGCCACTACGGACAGCAGCCTCAGCAGCAGCAGCAGCGGGTCCAGTTCAGCGAGGTCAACTTCAAGGCGCTGACGGCGTGCCTCGAGTCGGCGTGGCACCTGGTGCAGCAGAGCGGCAGCTGCCACGGTGCGCTGCCCACAGTCATCGCAGCCAGGCTGGCATCCGACGACGAGCTGGTCCCGACCGACTCTGGTCCGACGTCGTTTGGCATGATCAAGGCGGTGCGGCTGTTTCGCTTCCTCGCCCGCTTCTGGGACAGCTGGGACCGCGGCTTTGGCCTGCTCCGCTCGCTCCACTCGGCGCCCGAACAGGCTCAGCAGGCCGCTGGCGATGCGGCGACGAGTCTTGTCGCAGAGAGCAACGACGCTGTGGAGAGCTTCCAGGCAGCTCAGCTCGATGCGCGTCCGGAGGTGCAGCCTCTGCAAGCCTCGGGGCAGTATGAGCTCGGACCGCACGCCGTTGGTCATGACCGCGTCCCGCACTCGGGTTATGGGTCGCACTCGGCCGACGCTTCGGCCGCATACGGGCAGCAGCACCATCACCAGGAGCACCAGCAGCATCATGACCATCATCTTCAGCACCAGCACCAGCGTCGACGCACGGTGCCCGCCCCGCTCGAGCTGGGTGCGGCTATGCAGCGGACGGGCCAATCGGGCCTCGAGAGCAGCCTAGCGACGTGCTCCTCGTTCCATGCCCACCTGCCCTCTGCCACGCCGCCCGCCGTCGACCACCATGCGGCAGGACCATTGAGCATGGACCCTGGCGATCTCGGCTTCGGCTGGACGCCGTCGACCATGGCAGCGTCGGGTGCAGCGGCATCGACGACTATGGCTGTTTCCAGCCTTGCAGCCGCCGCCGTCACCGCCACTGCCACGACGACCGACGCGGTCACGATGGGTGCCAAGGAAGAGGGACGATCGTCGTCTTCGTCGTCGTCGTACCATGCCTACCGGCTTCAGCGCGACCCGACCGACGACGGGGCGCCGTCGAGCGAGGTCGTCGAGGCCGCAACGAGCTGCACGCCGCGGTCGTCGGGCGGCTGCAGCGGCGGCAGCGGCGACTCGCCGCCGTCGACGGTTCCCTGTTCCCTCGAGCACGGGCCGTACCACCGTCCATCGAGCTTGTACGTCGACGGCGACGTCTCCGCCGTGACCGAGGAAGGCCTTGCGGGTGCGATGCCTCTTCCTCGGTCGACCGTGGTCAAGGTCGAGAGCGAGGATGGACGCGACGAGGCGGTGCGCGACTACCGGACGCAGCCCCGTTCTGCCGCCTTGATCGAGTCGTGCGACACCTCGCTTCCCGCTTCGCCCTCGACGGACGGAGAGGAGATGCTGCGAGCTACAGGACGGGATCGCCCTGTTTCGCTGCACGCGGACGAGGATGAAGACGAAGACGTCAAGCTGTCGAGTCTGCGGCTCGAGGGCGCGGGAAGGCCGCGACCGACTCCCCGGCGGGAACGGGAAGAGCACCACGGCGAGGTCGATGGCGATGGCGAAGGCGACGGCGATAGCGACGATGCTGTGCCGCCGCGAGACGAGGGTCGCGCCGAGTGATGAGAGAGTGTCGCTCGCTCGTCGATGATGACTCTGCGACCTTGGTCGGCGTCGTTTGAGGCCGCACCGACCGACCGCCAGCGCCTTTGCTACGCTGGGAAGCAAAAGGCCGCGTGGAACCCGGCTACCGGTAGCGCCTCGCATGTACACCCCATCCCAACCTATCCGCTGGCGGCGAGCAATTAGAATGGTCCAGAACCGTGCAGATCTCGCGCCCCCCTCTTTGGTGCTGTAGCCGTCTAGGGCGGACAAGGTAGGTGGAGCTTATCGCCGTCCTGCCTGGACCCGGTCCGACCGACCGATGGGGGGGGTACGGGTGCGTGTGGAGGTGCCGACGGCGACGGCGACGGCGACGGCGACGGCGACGGCGATAAAGCAGGACCGCTCGTCGGTCGTCGACAGGTACCGCCGTGAGAGAGGGGATATCGATGGTGGCAACAACAGCGGCGGGTGGGCAGGGCAGGGCAGGGCCGGGAGCGTAATTTCGCCCGCCAAGTTCGGCGTTAAGCACACGTACCGTACCAGCCTCTCTCTCTCTCTCNCTCTCTGTCTCGTCTCGCTCTCGTGTCTCGTCGTCGTCGTCGGTACTCGTCGTCGTCGTCTCGTCCGTCGTCGTCGTACCGTACGTACGTCGGTCGTAC